ACCAACGTATTCACAATGCCATTGCTAACATTGCTTATATTTAGCGCTTAGGCTGTACATTTTTTAATTGACTGATTAAATAGACGTAGCCTCCGTGACATCACCAATAGGTTTCTGAAGAGCCATAGTGAAGCTCAGTGTGGTGGCTCTGGCAGTCAGAATATTGGCAGTACTGACTCCGCCAGCACCCAGATAATCCCCAAATGGAGCAAAGATGTGGAGTGTGGGTCGAGCATTGGGTCATTTAAGTGGCAATTCCCTTAATTATGCATAACCTTAAGCCCTGATATAATTTAAACAGGTGAGTTAAATAAAAAAGAGACTGAAAGTGTTTTTTACTACCATCCAGTACACGTTTATTTCTATTGTAAAGGTTTTAACATGAGGTCTTATGGAGGTTGACTCACTTCTGTAGCCCTACTCAAGTGGTCGTTCGAGGAACTGCAGTCTTTGTTATTTCCATGTTGACTTCATTTGCAAGTCAGGGAGGGTGCTGCTTGGTTTAGTTTAGACTGCTAACATTTGCACTAAACACAAAGTACCGCTGAGGCTCATGAGAAAGTAATTACTTTAGCAGATATTTGGTCATGAGCCAAAATGTTTTAATTAATTTTTTTTTTTTTACCTGAGATGTTAATGGAATACCCAAAGTCTTTACAGAAGTTCATGTTGAGGAGGACACGAATGTCTGTACCAACTGTGGCAATCCTTTTGTAGTACAAAATTTAGTGTAGGTTAGTGCATATTATAAGTTAGTAATCAAGTAATCACACAAAGGTTTGGATATTATGTTGTAAGCACTGTGGTTTGTTCACACAGATAACTGGAAATCAAGTAGAGAGCACTATGTTTTAAGTAATGAGGATTTTGAGTGTTAAGTAGAATAGATTTTATATAAGCTCACAATGATGTTAATGAATGCATTATGTTTTAAGTTTATATGATTTCATGATAAGCACAAATACTGTTGATGAAGTAGTAAGCACCATGGTTTTTAGTAAAGGTTTGGTTTAATGTGTGGAACATATAGAATGTGTAGTTGTAGCAAAAAAAACGAGCACGGATTATACCAAATGTATGTGTGTGTTTGTAACACAAGTTTCTTATCATATTATATAAAGTTTATAAAGTTTTAAAAATACAGTAAAAGACATCTGTGACATAATGGTGTAAGAAAAGGGTAATAAATGTTTTTTAAAAAATAGAAGTACAGTAAACTAGATTCTAATGGTGTAATCCTGATGAAAGGAGAGTAAAAAAGAAAATGTCATGGCCAACTGGTGTAGGCCATGAAGCCTGTGGGTACTGTGATAAGAACGTAGGCCTGACGGTGCAGGATAATTAGGCGAGCAAGACACCAGTAGAATGGAGCATGGGCCCAACAGGTGCAGGATAATTGGACTGATAAGACACTAGTAGAACCGAAAAAGCCACAGGTTGGTGGAATTTTAGGGTCTTTCCAGAGGGAATTTACGCCATTATCTCATAGGTTGAAAAGGTAGAAGATGGGCAGGACTTGTGACAGAGTGCAAGAGTATATAAGGAGAAGCTTTGTGAGGTTGAATTCAGTCTTTCCATGGATGGCTGGGGCTTTGTTTGTCTGTCAAGATAGTAAAGCTCTAATCTACTGCCAACTCTGATGAATCCTGATTCTTATTTTTCCACCTGAAGGAGAATAACTTTTAGACCTAATTTGGGCTTAGAATTCGTATGTTGGACATAATCTTCTGATCAAAAAGAGAACTCGTTCTGACCAAGACCCAACACTTTCAGTCGTTTCGATTTCACGCAAAACCTTGTGGTGGTGCTATGTAAAGTCATTAAGATTGTCCTCTGGGAACCATGAATGTCTGTAGAAATTTCGGTGCCAAGGCATCAAGGAGATGTTGAGATGTTTCATAAACTTTAACCTGCTGGTAGCGCTAGAGGATCCCAGGTTGGAGGATCACAAAAGTCACTAGGATTCATCCCCTGGGACACAAAATGTAATGGCAATACAGCCAGTATTTGATGAGATATTTCATTTTATTTGCCATATGGTCAAAATCAATGTAGTATCTTACTAAGAATCTCAATAACACCTTAATTTGCTTCACATTTGCTCCTCATACATGGTTCGACTGGGATGTCAGTGATTTGTTTTGCAGTGCATATAGAACACAAATAGAAGAGAAGCTTGCAACTTTGACTGTAAACTATTCCCATAAGAACACCAGTGGACTGTGGTGAATCCATACTTATTGGTTTTAATGATCATCCTCGAATAGGACCTCTATAGCTTCCATGACAGCATTACTGGCAGTAAACTCTCAGTGAAACGATGAGAGCACTTAACATGTTTTTTTTTCAAAGGCAAGATGTTGCTGTCTTGCATCATGCACGTGTTGTACCCTAAGGTCTTTTTCCTGTGAAGATATCATCTTTCTTTATTCCTTTCTCGTGGTGTATTTCATAAGATTTGGCATCAGTATGTGTACTGAGGAGAGGGGAATGTCTCATTTATTTAAGTCTTTGCTGATATACCCTCATGCAGCCTCATGCAAAAGACATTAGAGCTTGAAGAAAAGCTTGAAATCGCACTTTATGTAACACATTTGAACATTTCAGCAGTGTTTCCTCATTCCCATCAAAAACACTGCAGTTCACTCTGCCTTAATCATTTACAAAAAACGTGGGACAGGTGCATTTACTTTTAGTATTCTTTTTCAGGGTTGCAGGAAAAGCAAAGGAGGTTCTGGGCTGATCACGAGGCTGTCACAAGACTGAATCCACATTTAAAATCATGACCAAGAATAAATTATACTCCATCAGAATGAGCCATATTAGCCGAGGATGTCTGACTCTGGTTTCCATTGCCTCTCAGTGTTCTTACACACAGTGCCAAGAACAAATGTACAGGAAGATACACATAGACACACAGCTAAAACAAGGACAACAAAGCTAAACAAAGACAAGTGAGCATGAGTATACAGTCTGTGGATAGAGAAAACAAAACACTGAACCCCCACACAAGCATGTGGACAACATGGAAACTCTACATAGAAACTCATAGCCAAATGAAGGATGACAAATTAAAGGGATGAACGGGAGGGATTGGCATTAAAGACAGGAATACAAATCAGACATCATCTGGGGAGCAGGAAGAATGTTGGAAGCAAGGCTTAATTTATAGTAAACTGCTTCTACTTCACTACTTTTACAACAGTGGTAATTTTGAAAAGGAAAGTTTCCTACTGAACCAAAAAAGAAGCAACACTGCAACTTGACACAGTTGTTTTTTGCGAGGATCTTAAACTATTCATGCTACAGGTGTCACTTTGCATTGTGGGGTTTAAAATTATGCAACATGGTGGCATGAACAACTTTGGTTTATAACCAAAGTTATAGACACTTCGTTGCCACATAGTGAGTCTTTTCGACTCGGAAGACATAAATTAGCAGGCCTGAACAAAGTGAATAATGCATTATGGCGAGCGACAGAAGGTGGGATGTAAAGCAATACAGGAAATAATCTCAGAACGCTGTGCAAGATATGTCATCTCCCAGAGAGCCATAAGGAAGTGAATGAGTCATATAGAAAACAGGATTGTGTCTTCCACTATGTGTACCAATGCATTTTTTGTGTCTTGTCACCCAAAGTATCAAAGTCGGTCTTGTGTTGTATCACCTGTTATGTCTCATCTCACAAAATTAAAAAGAAAAAAGAAAGAAAACAACAGAGGTTTGATTTACTACTTAAATATGAATCTATATTTGCCACCTGAGGCTGTTTTTGCTCTTACAGTCTGTTCATGTTATCACATACTCCAGTCTACACAACCTCTATCATCAAGATTCATGAGTGAGCTGGACACAAGCACACACACAGAAAAACTATTTTATTATTATATCTGCCATGTTATTTTATTTGCAATAAAAGAGTCTTTTTTTTCACATTAAGAGATTAAGGAAATTTAAGCGGATGAAAAGACATTTTCATGCACATAAACCAATATAATTGCCATATAATCTCATATAATCACCATTTCCCCCCTAAAGATCTGAAAATAATCAAACGCTTCATCTTCAAGTTACAACAGTAAATAATGAGACTGGATTCACTGCTTTCAGATGTGCTGCTTCATCTAAATAACAGATCCTGAAGCTCAACACACTTGTAATCCATTAGTACGTACATAAATACTATGCTCTTGACTAATACATTGATGATTTGGATCAATACTAACAGATGTTTTATTTTGTTTATAATTAGTGTTACCTTTTTAGGTTGTTTTATTTTTATGATATGATTAATGTTTTTTTGTTTAGGCTCATGTTCCCAGGTGTTCTCTCTGAATGTAAAAAATAATAATAAAAGTTTAAATAATTTAAATGGATAGACTTATATATATAGATAAATAGATAAATAAGACAGATATTTTTCTATAATAGTTTTGTTTAAATGTTTAATAGCATTCTGGCAAGGTGAATGAGGTTTATTCTATTAATGTTAATTAATAATTCAATATTTTATTTTATTTTATTTTGTTTAATTTAATTTAATTTAATTTAATTTTATGTTACTTTATTTTATTTTATTTTGTTTAATTTAATTCTATTTAATTTAATTTAATTTAATTTTATGTTATTTTATTTAATTTTGTTTAATTTATTTTATTTTATTATATTTTATTTTATTTTATTTTATTTTATTTTATTTTATTTTATTTTATGCACCGACTCTGTCCCAAAAAAAAAAAAAAAAAACGCTTGGCTCCACCCGGCTAATCTCATTGGTCCGTAGATATCGCCGAAGTCTCGTCCTTTCTCGCGATACAGTAGATCCTTCCCAGTTGAGCAGCAGCTCCTCGCCGCCGCTCAGTTGCTGTTGTGGCTGTGAGGCGGCAGTCGGCCAGTCTCTCTCCGGTTCAACCGTCATTCAGCCTGAGCTTTTAAACGGGAGTCCTTGTGTTTTTTTTTTTTTAAACTAACCGACGAGCCGAAAACAACCGACAGTGCTGCCCCCCCTTACCAACCAACCAACAACAACAACAACAACAACAACTTCCGGCTCTACGAGACACATTTAATCCCGCAGGTAAGGTTGCTAACGTTCACGTCTTCTTGGCTCTCTCCAGACACTCATATGCATTGCTAGCTGGTTTTCTCTCCCCCCCTCTCTCCTCCTCCCTCCCCTCCCTCCCTCCTCTTCCTCCCTCCCTCCTCTTCCACAGTTCAGTTTCACATCAGCAACATTTAAATCACACCTGTCTCCTTCCTCTGTCTCATCCTCGTGAGGCACTTATTGATTAACTTATTAATAATACGTCGGTTTGTGTTAACGGGAACCGGAGAAAGGGGGAGAAAGGGGGAGAGAGAGGGGGGAGAGGGGGGAGAGGGGGGTGAATGCAGGAACTTCAAAGCTCACTGTTGACTCTGCCTCTGGAATGCATGTCCCCCCTGTTAGCTTGCATGCTAACGATACATCTGTTTATAATGCAGCAGTTGGCCGGCTCACTATGCTAACGTTAGCTAGCAGCAGTTATATGCGGGGTTTTTATTTTATTTTATTTTATTTTTTTTTACATGACCTGTCCTGTTTTGGAGAGGTTGTGGTGAGGAAGCCATGATAGCGTTTCTTATTTATTTATTTATTTATTTGGATTTTTTTTTTTTTTTTTTTTTTTCATTGATAAAAACAAATGTTTACAGAATAGCAACTTTTCATTTCTCTCTCTCTCTCTCTCTCTCTCTCTCTCTCTCTCTCTCTCTCTCTCCCCCTCTAATGTGCAGTAACTTCTTCTTCATCCTCAAAGATTTATTTCCACCTACACCCCGCCACACATTTGTGCAGCTGTCCTGTTATTATTATAGACTGAAAGTAACATACCGCTTTTGTGCAAGTGTGCTTCTGGGAGTGCAGCAATTACAGATGACACTTAAACTCTAACTTTTGTGTGTGTGTGTGTGTGTGTGGTGTGTGTGTGTGTGTGTGTGTGGTGAGTGCTATCCTTGCACACACACACACCTACCACACTCTTACTGTTTTTTATACTGTTTTTTTCTCTACCGACTTTGCCGCTGTAACATTGGAATTTCCCCATTGTGGGACAAATAAAGGAATATCTATCTACATCTATCTATAACAGTCTTTCACAGGCTGAGCTATTATCGGTGCGCATTGTTAACGATCTGCTTTAGTTGCCATAGATATTATCAGGGTACTGACGGCTAGTTATTTGCTCATACCCTTATACATTTCCACCAAGGAGAGCTAGATAGAACTATATTTATGGTGATCGTTGTGCCTCGGATGCTTGATATACGTGGTTAAATAAGCATATACTTTGTTCAAATGTATGCACATATATTTAGTAAAGTAAAGAAATAAATGGAGGTACAAATTGGGGCTATTGGTTACAATGGTTGACACTACTAGCAATGAATTAACTGTGCAGAGAGGTGCCGTGGTGTATGTATCAAAAGGAAATGGAAGGGGGGAAAAAAAAGCTGATCTGTGTGAACATGGAAATTGGATTTTAAAATAGTTGTAATAGGAATAGAAACAGTGAAGTGAGTTTGAGGTTTGATAATGATTCCATGTCAGTGTCTGGCAGTGAGAGAGAGGCATTGTACGTACTAAAGGGCAGTGAGCGGAAGGATCTCTTGCAGCGTTTCGATGGTGCACTTTGGTTGTGTCAGTCTATTGCTGAAGTTCCTCCTGTGTTCATCCAGAAAAAAAACCTAAAGGCGGTGAGAGAAGATAGACACGGCTCACTTTGGTTTAGATGTTTCACAAAATCTACATTATTTTTGTTTGGAACAGAGGAAATTAGTTGAACATTTGCTGCTACTTAATTTTCTCCAGTTAGAAACAGGAGGTCTTATTTAAAGCCCATGATGATATACAGGCCGATAGTCATTTTGTTTAACATAAAACATTTGGATACTGATCCCTTAATTGTTTTGTTTTTTTATTGTTAGCGAGATTAGTACTGAACTGGACATTTTACAATTTGAAAAATCAACTTGTGGGGCTCTGGGTAGCTCCCCTGGTAGAGTCTGGTTCGATTCCAACCTGCAGCCCTTTGCTGTATGTTGTACCCTCTCTCTTTCTCCCTCTTTCCAGTCTATCTTCACCTGTCAAATAAAGGCATAAAAAGCCTAAAAATATCTTATATAAAAGCAACTTCTTTCTAAATTAGCTCATACTGTGGCATTTCCCATATACTTATATTACTGTGTTTATTCCCATAAAAGCTTTTTTAGCTGAAAACGTGGTCGAAAAAAAAAAGTGGGAGGATAATTGTATGACGTTATTTTCAATTGAGTTGCAGTGACCATGTTTCTGCTGGTGTGCACCTTGCGATGTGTATGATCTGTGAATTCCTCACAGGGCTCTTCAATATGTTAAAGGGCGTCCTTGGCTGCTTGTGTGTTCTCTACACAACAGGTAACCTCAAACAACAACAAAAAAAAAGAGTCAGCTGAATGAAATAAGTGAATAGAACAACTTCACTTTCATGGCTGGTTTACTGAGGTCAAGTTTCAAATTGTATTGATGAATGTTGTAGTAGGCCTTTCATATGTCAAACTACACCACGGGCTATATGCCAAGTAGTTTTTATTACACTGGCTGACTACCAAATACCTTAAATGCTTCACATTTTGTTCAAGAGCCAGCTGAAACATGTTTAAATGTTAATCACACGCCTACTTATTCCCTTACACGGGTCTCAATATGTGTAAATGCACAATAATAATTTGTTTAATAAGTTTAGTTAATTAAGGTTCTCTGAATATGGTAATAGCCATAGTGTATGCCATAGTTTGATTAAATATCTGAGCACAGTGTAAGCACAACCCAATTAACCCACCTGGATTTCTGCTTAGTCACTGAGTTTATTTCAGCTTCTATAAGTGTAAGTTTCAACCATTTTGTTTAGTCTGGTTGAGGCTGTTTTCAACCACATTTTGTGTGTTTAAAAACCCCTTTGAATCTCCCTTTGTGGGTGTGGAACCGTCTACCCAGACAAATAAAAGTATCGTTGTTACACTGATATATTGACTCTCAAAGTAGGTGAGGGATCAGCAGCAGTTTCAAAGCTGAGGCGGCTCCACCCAAAGTAAGAGGGAAGCAAAAGCTTGAGAAAGCAGAGCTAATAAAGCAGATGGCAGCTGGGAAAATCAAAGGCAGATATCTTCGTAAGAGTGGACTCCATATTTGACTGTATGAACATGGCCAGCCTTGGTAAAACATTTCCAAAGCATTTACTCAATTTTTAAAAAGGAAAAAAAGGAACATTTAGAAACATTCTTTGTGTACCACACGTTGATGATGACTTTGCAAGTGGAAATTATTCCACATAATGAAATGTGTTCTTTCCATTTACAATACAAATGTGACTGTAAAAGTTTATTTCTGACCTTGGAAGGCTTATCGAAGGAAGACTTTGAGATAGACTTGAACTCAGAAAATGTTAAAGTAAGCTTTAATTAAAAGTTATGTGGTGTAATTATCCACAACCATTATTGCTCCGGTTGTAATCTATGACATTACGGCAGCCATTCTGTCTTCTTTGGCAACCAACATTGATCCCTGGCAGCCAGCCTGGCTACCATTTCTAAAACTTGCTGTCGGCCGCTGTGTGGCTTCATTTGGGGCTTTGAGTTTACATGAACCAGAAAGGCAGTGAAGTGAAGCGGCTGCAAAACAAAGTTTTTCCCCTAGTGGAAAGCGAGTAGGAAGACACTCCCACGTTAGAGCCAAAAGCAAAGAGCGATTTTAATGGAATGACCAAGACATTTATTTAAGTTTTTTATTAATTAAGTCTAATTTGAAAAGTATGTTTCTTGCATGCTGTCTGTCTCCCTACACACACAGTCTTTAAACTTATTTAATTCTCACACTTTGAGCTACACATATAAAATAGACACCCATATGCACATTCTGTAAATATTCACAATCTGAAATGAAACACTTTTATGTTAAATACTTTGTTTAACATGTTTGTGTGCATATTCATATGGGTAGTATATGATACAGATACAGTTTGTGTCATATTCAGTGATAATATGATGCATATGATCTTCTATTTCCTTTACCATTATAGTTGTTTTTTTAAATAAATTGACACCAGTGCTATCTTAATGTTAGGAGACACAACTAATAAAATGTGGCGTTAGTTTTAAGCACTAATTATAAGTTTTATTTGAATAGATCAACCATTTATTGCTGAATTACTGTTTAAACTACTTACTCACTGAAGCTGCTTTACTAACTGGTGCATCAGTGTGTATTAGCTGGCTGGTGGGAACAAGTGGTGTATAGATATATATATATATATATATATATATATATATATATAAAATGCAGATAAGTGACAATTAATTAATATAGGGAGTTTGTTTGGTTTATGGTTTGGTATATGGCTTCATAGCCAGGGAGGGTGTTTAGAAATGTGCTAACAAAGACTTACAAACAAACCCTTGTTTCACAGAGTATATATTTATACTATTTTTGAGTGGTGACAGATTGCAATAACACAGGCAGAAGTTGGCAGCTTGCTAATTAGGCAGTCAGCTAATCACAGAGTTTGTAGAAATGCCTGGAGGAGACAGAAAACACAGTATATCACTGTAATAAAATGTATATACTATATAAATGTGAAATACTGTGGTATAAATAATACCTTATAATACTTCAGGAGATTCTGAATGAAGCCAAAAAACAATTTAGACCCAAACAAAGATCTTTGACATCCACAAATCTCAGCACCTGGCAGAGTAATCCTTTAGTCACTGGTATTGATCAACAGCTCCTCTTAGATATGTATTAAGGCCATTTCCTGTTGTGTTGCGAAATTTACCTTTTCAAATGTTTCTCCTCTAGCAGAAACACCCTGAGCAAGATGTTTTATCCATTTTCACACCACAGTTCTGTTCCATATACATTATTACTTACTTTATTATAGTTCACTGCTTATTTTTATAAATTTTTTTTAAAGTTTGTATGCAGACACAGTTCTTTAATTTAGTCTCCCGCATAAAGAGTTGATGACTGTCTGACATTTTGGCCTCATCGTTCCATAACCCCTT